AAGTGCTGAGGAGGAAGGCAGCTGTCCAGGTTTGGATGGAAAACTTGAAAGGGAGAGATGAGAAGGGAAACAAGATAGAAAAATCCAAGTCTGCGAAGGCTGAAAATCACAGCCCCAGCTTCAACCTCACACTTACTACTCCTCTAAGCAATTAGCCACTTTTCCAAGCCTCAGCTTTCTTATTGGTAAAAGAGGAATTAAAATCTGCCCTGTAATGGTGCTTTTGAGGAGCAAAGGTACAGGGCCATGTCTGATGAAAAGGAGTCCTACAAATTTAAATTAAGAAGAAAGAATGAACCAACTCGGGCATGTGCTGAGTAGAGGGCAAAGGAGAGGAAGACGATTCCAAGGTCTCAGAACTACGTAATGGTACTTTATTTTTCCTTTCCATTTACATCTACACTTGAGAGTCACCAAAATTCCTTCCTTGCATTTTACTTTTAAACATATTGTTTTCCCTCTTGGATCTCATCCAAAATCATTATATTGTCAGGCTTACACTCTAGTACATGCAGAAAAAGTAAAGGAACAGAGCCACTTCCGATCACGAGAGGCCGTTCCATCTCTAAAAACACATTCTAAAACACATTCACTTCTGAAAAGTCCCCTCTGAATTGGTTGCAGGGGGAAGGGGGAGATAAGAAAATAGTCTTAATACAGAGTGTATTTTTAAGGAAATGCAGTTTTATTATTTTCAAGTACAAATAATAACTTGAGCTTGGCTAACCAAATGTTGCCTAATTGAGGAACCTGTTTTAATGTATAGATATAAATGACTTATAGTTAGCACGATCACTCATGGGTAAAAGAAAGTTCTGATGCATGAAAATAACGTCCTGTCTTATGGAGACACCTTGTACCCCAATCACTCCACTACTTAAGCAATTCCTACTCCCCCTGCCCCACAGACAGTTCAAATATAAACTTCTCCTCATTCCCACTGGATCACAACATACATCAAATTAGGGAAACATGAGTTGATGAAATTGGCCACATTGCCTAGATGTTGGATTGGTGAGACCAGCCTTTTTCAACCTGAGCCTTCTCATCGAGAGTACTACATCTAAATTAGTGAAATATGTCTGTTCATAATGTGAGTACAGGGACTCCAAAAAACTGTTGAGTTTGTTATCATCTGAATAATTTGCCTGGTTTAAAAATGCAAACACAGCCCTAGCCGGTTTGGCTCAGTGGATAGAGCATCGGCCTGCAGACTGAAGGGTCCCAACTTCTATTCTGATCAAGGGCACATGCCTGGGGTTACGGGCTCAATCCCCAGTAGGGGGTGTGCAGAAGGCAGCCGATCAATGATTCTTTCTCATCATTGATGTTTCTATCTCTCCCTCTCCCTTCCTCTCTGAAATCAATAAAAATATATTTTTTAAAAATGCCAACACATTTTTATTTGAGCACATTCCTGAAGAGAAGTAGCTGATTCTTTCAGCTATAATAATTCAGTGGGTTTACAATGGTCAGGCCTGTAGCACTAACTTTAAGCAAGGAAACCATCCAGAGAAGTCTGGAAACATTGAAACAACTTGACAGCAAAACACCTTTTTGCAGGAGCATGATCATTCAGCCTGATTAGGCTGATGGGAGTGGCCCAAGACTATTCAGTCACCCACATGAGGACTGATTCTGAAAAAATTCACAGGGAAGCTATGGTCAGAGACCCTGCCAAACACCACTAGTGGGCATTTCTGTTCCTTTTATCAGACACTCCATCTGGGGACTGAGTAATTCTCAACAGTGTCTTTGTTGTCTTCAACATCCTGGCAACCACCAGCATAACCAGATACAAAGGCTGAGTAGGACAGACCTAAAAGGGCTTCTCCCCTATCCTGACAACTCCATGTCCCTAAAGACAAGGGTGACAGTGTGTCCTACCCCAGGCTGCATCCTGGAGCAGTGATCTGATTCTGCACATTTCCCTGCACAGAAAGGCAGGTGATTCAGTCACCTAGGCCTGCAAGAGACTCAGGGAAGGAGGCCCAGAAAGCTAGAAGTGATGGTGGGAAGACACACCTCGAAGGTCCCAAGAAGCCAGGGCACGCAATCACAGCTTCAAGGAGCTAGCTGGCTGGATTTGGCCAAAGCAAGTAAAGCCAGACTCCACTATCCTTAGTTTCTTTTGCTTGGGAAAAATGTCTAATCTAACAGAAACAATTTCTTCATGTCTAAAATAATACTGTTTCCAAATGTATTTCTTTTCTCCCTAAGATATTTTATAAATACAGAGCAGTGGTAATTCTCCTGAGAGCAAATACTAGTATAATCACACAATCCTCAATTATACTTTACACTAAACGTTTTCAATGGCCAGAATAATTTTTAAACTATGAAAAATTAAGTGCAAACCTTAAAATTGAACAGCAACAGTCCTCACCTTCCACTCAGGAGAAGCTATCCAAACATGTGAACCTTCTTTTGAACTTCTTCAAAGTGGAGCCCCCTCTCTGAAGGAAGTCTATTTCTCTGCTAGGTGTGAAAGTCAGGTTAGAACCAGTTTAGACAACAATGATGGCTCAAATAATAGGGCCAGGCCAGATGAAACTAGCTTCCTTTGCAATGGGAACAAAGTTGGCTACAAACCTCATGCTCACTCAGCTGTCCCTGGACCCCTGCACCCTGGAGCCTGGGTTGTCATGTGCCTGTATGAACTCGAGAGAAGCCCTTCTCTTCCACCAAACTCGGGGTCACTCAAGATACCCAATGCGCATAAAGAGGGATGGAGTCCATCTGCTCATGACTTTGGAATTTTTCAGAAATGAGAATTTCACAAAAGAAAATGCAAAGGCAAGCCCTTGCTTCCGAGCTAAGGAAGCAGACTTCAGCGTGTGTGGAAGGCAGCCCCCTGACTCAGTGAAAGAAAGCTAAGCAACCACAGCTTCTATCCCTTGACCACTTCTTTCACTGACTCCCCACTTGGTTCGATCTTTTTAAAGGATGAGTTAGTATTCCATTTTTATAAAAGCTGGCAATAGTATGACTAAATCTAGCATCTATAAAGCAATTAAGTAAAATGCCCCGGTACAACGAAGGCAGCTGTGAGGAGGACTAGGTTAGGACTCCAACCCCTGCCCCAAGGACTGCTGTCAAAATAGGCCCCACTAAGCACCACCTTGGTAACTTCCGTATTCACACTGCACACGGAAGGGGAACACACTGTACAAGTTTCAGGTTTATCATTTCCAAAAAAAATTTCCCACAAATGACTATTATTATGAATTACTTGCTCTTTGAAGCTACTGAATATATCTCAAAATGAGGTGGGAGTAGGAATGGTCATGAAATCAGTAATCTGTTATTTGTTTAGCTGCATTAGAGGGAAAAAGTCATTTACCCTCACCACTGCCCAGTCTCCTGAGGCTCCTGCAAAACAGACTCCAGTTGCAATTCCGTTTCTTTAGAGGACCAAGCAGAGCTCACACACAACTCAGTATGAGATGGATGAAGATATTGTTCTTTACCTAATTCCTTTAGTGTCAACATGGATATTAACTAAACCTGTCCTTGAAAATGACCATCAATTCTCTAAACTTCACAGCAGTCAGAGGTCCAATGTCAGGCTCTTGCTAATGCGTATTCTGGGAGAGTTGTGTCCTCACTATAAAGTTTGCTTCATTCTCAGCTCTCCTGGGAACCCCTTTTCCCCACCTAAAATGGATATGCTTTATATTATAGTCAGCAAGAAGAATGAATAACTCATGTTCCCAGGCAGAAGCACTCACTGAGGTGCTAGTTCTTGTGTTGTCTTTCCTGTCTGTGAATGAAACATGACCCCTCACTCCTCTATAACACAATGGGACACTTGAATGGTCAGACAATTATGGTAAAACATTTCCACTGCTGAAGCACAGTATTCTTTAACTTTACAGCAATGAGAGGTGGAGGACACCAACTGACAGCCCATAGACATGATTTGTTTAGCACACTGTATTTTAAATTATCTTCAATTAGTTGGAAATGTTTTTTAAAATCAGGAAATTTCCAAAAAATTTTTGGATTTCTACTTCCTCCTCAAAAATCAGACCTGCCAACATTGAGCTCATTTATGCCTAACACTTGCGCTGAGTAACTGCCCTATTCAATAAGCTTTCCATGGTTCAGCACAATCCTACCCAGCATGCATCACTCATTTATGTTATCTGCATGTGAGTTTGTGAACCCTAGTCTAGGGCAATTCCTTCATTGTAAATCTGATTTAAAAAAAAAGAGGGCCCAGGGACAGAAAGTTAATCTGCCTGAAGCCACACATTAAGTTGGAGGCAAAAGGGGAAGATACCAGGGCCAGGTACCTTTCTAACATAGCACATTGCCTTTCTATAGAACCACAACTCCTATAAGCATTTCTTCCACCAATTATTTACATCTTCTAAGTGGAATATGTGCATTTTCTACATTCTCCTTTTAGCCATCCTTTTCATATATTTGATTTCCTTATAGATGACAACTTTGTATCAGTGATTTCATTTATATATTATCTCCAACCCCAAAGAAACGAATCAGGAATCAGACAAAACAAAAATGTCAACTTCTGCACAACTCAGCAGATGCAGGACCAGAAAGAATCTTACAAATCACTTAGCTTAACAACTAGCTATACAGACAGGGAGAATGGGGCCAGGGAAGTGATATGCCTAGGTAAGAGAGCCAGTCTTCAATCTTCCACTCCACCGTGTCACTTCTGTGCAGTCACCTGGGAGACCGAGAACCAGCTTGCTCCAGATATAAACAGAAATGACAGAACTCCCTCACAGCTCAGCTGTGGCTAACCTTGACTCTGCCAAGAACCAGAGATTAGACTACTAGTACATTACAATCAATCAATTTATAGACCTGGATTTGTACTGGAAGACAGATTTTCTTTAGAACTGGTATTTGGTGGAAAGTTTTGAATGTCACAGGACTTGGTGGTCTTTATAACACTGGTTGTTATAAAAGCTAAGCTCCATGTGAGAAAGTTGCTGTAAAACATCATAGCACCGTTGCTTCAACTTCAAAAGAAAAAAAGGCAATGGTAAAAAGCTTTAATAATAGACTGAATGTGTTTTTATAGGCAACCAATTAGCATATTAATGAACCATTTAAATTTCTTTACTTAAAACCAATATTCAAGAAAGATGAACCCAAAATGCATACTCTTACTCTGACCAACATAACTAAATACAAATGAAGTCGATGTTGTATCCATTAGCATGCTGTGATGTATGTCAGTAAAACGAGCCCTCCCCCACCCAGAGCCCTGGCCCCCTGGCAAACATAGGTAAATGATTGTGCACTGCGTGATGATACCATTAGGTGAGAACTTTGGTTCATGCAGTCGGCTGCCATAGAGGTTGCACTCAAACCCTGCGGCCCCGGCACCCAAAGTCAGTCAGCGGTGGTGGCTCATGGCATCAGCCGTGCTCCTTCCACAACACCAGGTGAATACTGTGATCAGGCATGCTGGTGGCAAAGACCAAGCCCGTGTCATTGTGCCCATCCAGTCCATTCAGCCAGGAAGCTTCGCCTGCCAGGAAGCTTGAGCCTCTCTTTGACTTCCTGTACTCTGGCAGGGGCCAGCGGCTAATCAGGCTCTCTGTCCGCAAGTCCATGATATATAGGTAGCGGTTGTCAAACAGCAGGGCAAAGACATCTCCAAAACCAAGCAAGGCCAAGTTTGCTATCTCGGGAGTCTTGATAACTCTACAAGGATGAGAATAAGTAACATGAACCAGAAGGCAACTAACTTTGCTTTTGTTTATGCTACTGTAATCTTTTCTGGAGACATTTAAAAGCAATACACAATTCAAGCAAATTTAGAGAGTTAAATGAAAGTTTTTGATAAAAAGGAAAATACAAGGACAAAAAGTTCAGCCTACTTTAAAACGAGGGGGGATAGTGGGTAAGAGTTCATAATAATATGATAACACAGGCATGTAAGGAGAAAGGCGGTATTTGATGAACAGTTGTAAAAGCACAAATGCCCATCCGAGCTGGAAAGGATCTCTCATATTCTCATGTGACATTTTCATTTCCAAGATGTAAAGACTAAAGTCCAGCCAGGATAAATATACTTTGTCTAAAGATTCACAACTAATCAAGTACTACCAGACAGAACTCAAATGTAAGACTGAACTCTTACCAATAGGTGAAAAGATTTATTCATCAAATCCTAGAGCACTGGCCTAGGGGCTATTCTCAGCAGGTAGCAAATACATAGGTTCTCCTTTAAAACAGTAGAGACTAGAAATATTAAGTTTCCCAAATAATCCAGAAACATTAATAATGTATTCATAAGTACTTGCTAGAGAATATGGGGAGTTGGAAGGACAACCTTAGCCTTCTCAGGTTCACAGTTGCTAAAACATCAATGACAAAGGTACAAAATTGGAAAGATCTAGGGAAAGGGTAGCACAGAAAAAACCTTAAGTCTCTGTTATCTATATACTTAGTGAGGTAAAAGATGGACAAGAAAAGGTGACGTTATCTTTAGAGGCCCTAGGAAAAGAGCTACAAGATGAGGGATCTACAAATTCTGCCCTGGACAATAAGTTTGGGCCCCATGAGAGGCTAGGTTAGCCTATGTTTTAACAAGGACGCTACCATCTAATGCAGTGATGGCAAACCTTTTGAGCTCGGCGTGTCAGCATTTTGAAAAACCCTAACTTAATCTGGTGCCGGTGTCACATATAGAAATTTTTTGATATTTGCAACCATAGTAAAACAAAGACTTATATTTTTGATATTTATTTTATATATTTAAATGCCATTTAACAAAGAAAAATCAACCAAAAAAATGAGTTCGCGTGTCACCTCTGACAAGCGTGTCATAGGTTCGCCATCACTGCCTTAGACAGTGGTTCTCAACCTTCTGGCCCTTTAAATACAGTTCCTCATGTTGTG